ACTCGTCAAAGCAGGCCGTTCCAAAATTATATTAAATTATATTCCATAAGGACCATTTCTACAAATTACCAAAAGGTTCTAATGGATGTTTAACGATTTATGGATGAAATAACCAATTCCGCAAGAAACGTTTGAAATAAGAGTACAAATGTCAATTTTAAAACGATAGGGACCATTTTGACAAATAGTGTAAACGTTGAAGACCATTTCTACTAATTACCCCCAAAATCTTTATCAAACCGTACCATGATCCTGCATCGAACATGCTTTCGGCTGAAAGCCCCCGCCAATTTCAATGCTTTTGGCGTGGCAAACAAGCAAAGCATAATCATTTACACCGCCACGATATCAGCATACCATGTGACGAGAGCAAAAGGAATCATCAAAAGCACGCAACTACTTAAAAAATTGTAGACACAGAAACTTACAATACTTTAGTATTTACAAAGGGCGTTGACTACACAGGGTGACTCATCACCAACTAGGCAGATTTTTATACAGATTTTCCTCAATTTAATATCAAAATTGACCCTCTAAATGGACACTATTAAAAGTTTCCTAAAGAACCCTTTCATTTCTTTACTTACACCATACCCTAGACATAGTAGAATTATTTTTGTTCAATCAAATCAAACTCGGATTACTTACAAAGACTCCTTGCCTTACATACAGACACTTTTTGACACGTATTTACACTAGACAAAATGATCGATGATCTCTATTAGTAGCTCACTTCATCAAACTGTTCAAAATTTCCTCCTCTTGCTAAATCTTCGGTTTTTGTTATGTACTAGTTTTATGATTGCTCTCTAAGCCAGGGCAGGGATGCTGCAGTTGCATCTATCCCTGTCGAGGCAGTCGAAACCCTCGATCCTAACGGCTGGATTGTTGCCAAAATTTGTTCGCACAGATCCAGATCCACTTTTGCGGGAGGAGGATGGGGACAGAGCCAGCTCGGATGGAAACGGGATTGCTCGAGGTGACACGGGGGTGAATTTCTCATCCCCAAAACGGGCATCTTGAATTAGTGGGTTAGATACTCTGCTTGGTGGTGACCCAGAGAAAAATGGGGGTGAGGAGGCCATCTGTGCTACGGATTGTTCAACACCATAACCACCCTGTACGAATCAAGAAAATCAGCTATACGAGACGGTTCACCAAATAAAATGAAAATAAGTGAACCGAATTAATCTGTTTCAACTAAAAATTTAAAGAAAATATTTGTCCACACAATTGAAACATGAACTTTATTTAAGGCCCACAAATACTTTGTGATGTTCCTACACAGTGAACCAAAGGTCAAGACTTTTTCTATACACTATTACTTTAGGTGACAACTAGTGTCCACATAAATGTTATAAACTCATACGAAAAGAGTGATCCATCTAACTCACCAAAATTATAATTAACTTAACACGGCATGTTGAAGATTTTTTTTTTTAGGACAGACTTTGTCAGAGGTGATTTTTTTTTATTTTTTTTATGTATAATTAAAAAAAAGGAAAAAATTATGAATTTACATATAAAATTATTTTATTAGGAGAATATATTCAAAAAATGAATTTTAAAGAATTTGTGGCAAATATGGGCTTCATCAAATTTAGAAAAGAGGCTAACCTTTGCAAAAATGATGTCAAGCAGTTCATTTCCAGCTTTTGAATCACAAACCTCCTGTTGATGGCTGTTAAAATAAAAATACGAAAGTTAAATTTGAAGTGTAGACACAAATAAAACTTAATAAAATGATCAAAAAGGAGAAAGGGATTTGAAAATTACAAAAATTTACCTAAAATGCCATCGAAGGGGTCTAACCGGAGGGTCGTTAAGCGTCGTGGTGGTGGTGGGGGGTCTGGTGGCGGGGATAAGACCAACACGCCGCGGCTTGGGGCAAACCAAAGTCTCTTTCTTGTCCACACAGATAGACATAGATCTGCTCCGGCCACCCCTCATCTCTTCACAGGAAGCAAAAGTCTTCTGCTGAATAGCACACCGATTCATGTTCTTCTCTTCGGATCTCTACAAACACCTGTGTTTTACCAAAAAAATTCAAATAATTTCAGACAATTGCCTCAAGATAGGAATACTTCGAAAAATAAACTATTTTTGGATGTTAAGACGAGGGCAAATTGAGCTCTAGATGAAAATCCCATAAGTCGAGATTTTTTACTTTGATCTAGAAGACAAAAACATAAATATTGATTTAATAATTTGGGAAAATATCATTTAGATCTGTTGCAAAAATAGAATTTATTTTTATTTTTATTTTTTTTGTCGATATTGAACTAGATCATGAACTACTAAGTAAAGAGATCAGGGAAAATCTTACGACTATAAGAAATAATCGGAAATTTTGAGCTGCCGATATGGAAAGAAAATGATATCTCAAAAGGAGTAGAAAATTTATAAATTAGCTGATTTTCATACAGATCTATGAAAAATGTTTTTCAGTCCAGAAATTTGAGATGGAAATATGTAATCGAAAATCACTGTTTATATTTACCATTAGAACGGTTGATTATCTACAGATCTACGAGCTATATAATCACATCAATTCACATCGAAACATTAGCTCAACCAAAATCAAATTGAAAAGAGCAGACCTGTCGAAAAGAACAATTTACCTCTTAAAAGGGCCAAAAAAAAAATTAGAAAAAATCTCGAAGCTCGAAATCATGAATAAAACAAAATTAAAACGTACTTCTCCTCCAAAACTTCAAAAATTATATCACAAAAACCATAAAAAAGCGCTAAAAACCCATTTTGACCAAATTTTTTCTATCTATTTTTCACTGACAAAAACACGTACAGGCACACAGAGAGAAGATGAGCTTGATTTACCTGAACAAACTGTACAGAATTGTGTAGTTGAATTACTCCTCCAAGCAGAGGTTCAAATGAAAATGAAAAAAAAAATAAAAAATAAGAGAGAGAAAAAATTAGAAGAAATTGGGTCAGAAGAAACGGTGAGACTTGGGCAGCAGAAGCTGAGATTAATAAGCATGCGGTAGATGATATTTATACACGACTTGAATGGAAAAATTAAATATAAAGAAAAATTAAAGACCAAAAGTTGAATTGATTATAAGTAATTAATTAAAATTAGAGCTATTAATTTATTAGAGGAGCGTTTGGGATTGTTATCCTGAAAGTTTTGGAATCATATGAGCAATTTTGATCCTTTGCGTTGTAAATAAGAAAATCGAGAGTGATGTCTTTTGAATACTTAACTCTTTTTTCGATTTTGTACTTCTACAATATAATACTTACCAATAATTTTGTCATTTCTTTATAGTGTAACACGTCACTTTAATGATGTAAACAAGAAAAGTAGAATCGGACACTTCATTTAATATGTAATTAAGCTCATTATATTTATGTGATTCATTAAAGTAATTATCGAACACATAATCTGATGTAATGACAAACAAATGTGTTACAAAATTTGTTTATCTCGCATGTTGTGAGCATATAATAAGTTACTACAAACATAAACAAAACAATCGACCTCCAAAATATAGACAAAAATATTAAAATAACTTGTAAAAAAAGTAATGTTGATATCACATATACAATAAGCAATTCACGCTATGCCTCCATTTAGCAAAATTTGTAGATCATTTATAAGTTTTAGTTTGATAAAATTTATAAATCATTTATAAATGGTAAAACTTCATTTTCAACACACTAATCAATTACTCCATCCGTCCCAATTATATAGGCTTGTTTCTTTTTTCACACGGATTAAGAAAACTTTTTTAATGTCATTGGAAAATTAATTTTTGCCTAAGTCTTTCATATTTTATTCCTATTTAATTTTCAGTATGTAAAACTAAATTATTGTTGGAATTAATAAAGAATTTGAATGATGTAATTTGATGAGAGTCGTTCCATGTTTATAAGAAGTGAGAAATGTGTGTATTTGGATGATTTCAAAAGGTTGACATATTAAGTGGAGAAAATTTAATAAGAGTGTATTAGTAAAGAAATACAACAAAATATTCTACATTAAGGAACGGACTTATATATTTGGGACAAGAGAAAAAGGAAACTCAGCCTACATAATTGTCGTTCAGAAATTAAAGCATTATAAATTCTTCCAAATGGAGGCCAAATGGTCAAACTACATTTTCACTGAACCTCACAATTACTATCCACTCATTCATCACATATTTCTATTTATTTATAAATTAAACTCACTTACAGATTCTTCCGCAGGGAAGATATAATACATGCTAAATTTTGTTTTATTCAAATTCTCATGTTTACAATTAAGCCTATGAATTAAATCACAAATTTTAATTTAAGTTAAAGTCAACAATTAATTGTAACCATATATTTCATAGAATCACCAACTTTTTATCTGTACATTTTATCAATTTTTATCAAAATTTAATTTTAATATTCACCAAATAGGGATTGAGTGAAACTAAAACAAAAGTTTCCCATTTGAATTTCAAATACCAAGAAATCCCATGTTCCAAATTTTCCTCTCCTTTTTTGAAGATAAAAAAGTGGGTGGCAATTAACTCTATGATTAGATACTTTTAAAAAAGCAAAAATAAAAAATAAAAAATGTTCCAACGTTTTAAGCAAATATCCACTTTATTCTTTTCAGTGAAAAATATCCATCCCAAAAATGGCAGGGAGTGGCTGCCCATTCAGCAATCCAATCCAATAGCACAATTCTAGTGATATATCTTTTAAGATACGGTAGGGATGTTATGTTGGATAGAATTAGATACGAAATAGATAAATTTTATTTTTCTTTTAATAATATTCACTATTTAACAAATTGTAAAGTTATGTTGAATACGTTGAACTGAGATTAATTAGATATGATAACAATTCGCAAGCATTATATGCAAGAGCTCTGCTTGGGGGCATGAAGGCACTTATATTTTTAAAAAAAATAAATTTGGATGGGGCCCGCGCAACAGTGAGGAGCCTGTAAGCCCATGTGAAACTAATTCCTGTACACCAGGAATTATTCAATATGCAATTTGTGATTTTCTTGGTGATTACGATATTAGTTTATGTAATTTCTATTGAATTGTGATCCCATGTGTTGAGAGAAAAAAACAATATGCTTAAATAAATAAATTTTAGGTTAATCTGTGTCCACTATTTTGACTATATGTAAGAAGAAAAATGGCAGCTTGCAATTTCTTTTCACTCGTCGAAGATATTCATTTAGATTTCCTACCATTATCAGTTTAGGTGATAATGAAATTAATTAATTAAGTAATGTTATTTATCTAAAGTTCAGATAGATGATCGTCGATTTATGTGATGTGTGATCACATTAGCGTTCATGTCTAATGCCTCAAAATGCATTAAAGGTTCATTGGACAATATGGTAATGACTTTATTGTGTAGTATATAAATCAGTTATCATCTAAACTCTAGATGAATATTATTTTTTTATCACTTATTGTCACTTTACAGAACCATACGTTACTTTTTTTTTTTTTTTTTATCTCATAGGGCTCCTCATTGAATTTTTCGAATTTATTGGATCATTTTTTGCATTCAAGAATTCTCGGGCGGCCATTTTGTCAGAGGGTTATAATCTAATCTTGTGCCTATTGAAACATATACTCGAGGACGGATGAGGATGAACGATTTTAAAGTAGACTCTCCATTTGTTGGTGGTGTGTCATTACTGATCATAAATAGCATTACTAATGCCAAAAGGAAACCAAGTTTTTGTTTGTTTCTCATTTTTCATCCATAAAAATGAAAAATATGACCGTTATTCATTACATTAAGTCATCAATTTTGAATTTCTATCTTTTGTGTGGAATCTAATAACGATTATATTTTTCATTTTCATTCTACAATAATGAAAATCAAATGGTGCAAAATAATTGTTGGACTAACAATGCTGAAAAGGTCAAATGGAAGGAAAACGAAACAGGTAGCTACATTGTTTTTCGTACCCCACCCCCTAACTACCTTTTTAATTGTTTTTTTACTTTAAAAATATCAACTGGGTCAAACGTCTACCTCCAGTTGCCGAGGGTACAGTAGTTCCTTTTTCCCAACAATATTTCGACACGTATGAAATCAACTCGCGCCCTGGCTCTCAGACTAACCTAATAGCATTCTAGAATCTAGATCCCGTACAGTATTTATTATTTGGGATTAGTTGTTCCTTGTTATTGTCCTGTCAAGTTGACTTCACCAGTCAAAATTAAAAATTGTTATTATATTTTTTATCTTTAAGCCCTATTTGGTTTAATTAAATCAAAATTAATAATTAATTTGAATCATAAATTTTGTGAAATTCACGATTTTTATCAACTGTTTTAACTCATATTTTTTCAAATTTTATCAAAAGGGTAATTGGCACAAAATGTCCCTACCTTTGAAGGTTTTTGTGGAAAACGTCCATATCTTTCATATTCTTTGCACTGGAGGTCATTTTCACCCATTTTTAACATAAAATGACAAATATACCATTCTATATAAATAAAACAAAAAAGAAAAGAAAATAAAAATAAAGAATAAATTACAATCTGCTCCTAATCTTTTTAAAAATGAAAATCAGTCCAAAACTTATGAGAATATTAACTGTCGAACGCAAGCGTATGAACTGCTCAACGACAAACGTGGGTACAACCAACCCCTTGAGGAGTGGGGGTCATTCCACCAGAACGTAGGGGAAGTGGGGAAGTTTACGTGGGAGACCACACCCATTAAGGTGAGTACGAATGACAATCTCGCAACTATTTCATCTAGTATCTATCGTTTACGACTAGTACTGCTGGGGTGTCTAATCACATTCTATCTACTCCCCTATTCTTTCTATAGGAATGATAGATCAATAAAAGAAGAAGAAGAAGAAGAGAAAATCCTAATTCGGTATGGGAAATGACTTGTCTAGTTACAACGACAAACAATAAGTCCAAATTTGATTTAAAAAA